TATCAGGTATTTTAACATGCATTAATCTTTTAGATAATAATACTTATTTTTAATATCATCACATAATAATATCATATAAATACTTTAACACATATATAACCATTTCGTTCACACAATATCGGTTGTCAATTAAACATTTAACAAATATTTCAGACAATAAACATTTAATTCACATATAAACTTTCAACTAATATTAATACTTTTTAATAATTATTTTTATTAAATCGTTTTTATAAAAGTAACTATGCACTCACCTGATATAGGTGGAAGACATGCGGAAAAGTCAACTCTTTGACTGACACTTCAGATTTCCCTTTATATTGTACTAAACATAAATATTACTAAGCCTTAGTATTTGTTCGTATTTATTAAGTTTAATCATTATAATCTTTTTATCAAATTTATCAATAATCCAAAAAGAACACTGATGTATAGCGGATAAGGAGCAACCAAGTACGGTCGTATCATATGTGGGATCTGTTTGGTATATAGAGATATAGTGTTTGGAAAATCCACTTTAACCACATCACAAATCTAGACTTGACATCACTCATGTAAGCAGATCTGTCAGTATAATGGTTGGTATTATCAGTAAATCTAATTTATAAGTTCATAATAACTTTTACGAATATAAATATAAGTTATACATAAAGCACGGTAAGAATAAATAAACTTACAGGTTGTTTAACGAAAAACCGAACATTACGCGGGCATAAATTTGAAACTGAAAATTTTATTTCTCTGGGCTCTCTCGTGCTTCATAGCTTTGCTACTAACACATCAGAAGTACTAGAACTAGGCCTCGAGAGTTTGGGAGAGGAAGGAAAAGAATTAGCAACCAAATATGCAAGAAATCGCTTCTATTTATAACATTTTAAGGAGTGTGCGCCGCGCCTAGGCGCTCTGCATCCCGCCACGTGTCTGTAATCCTTGGCATTATCTCCTCGAAAGGTTACATGTCAGTTCTAATACAATATTTAAACGTTTAGAACCTTGTACACATGAAATTTTCTTTTCCAAATCAAGGTTGGAAATAGACCTCAAATTCCTTCAATTAATAGCAATCTAGGTAGGAAACCTAAAGCATGCTATAACACATATTATTTAGCACATATTAGCACATAAGGCATTTCTACTAAAGTATTCTAGTGCACCTAATAAAAAGTAAGGTATACAACCTAAGGCATGCTATAAAATAATTTTATTAGCACATAATGTTAATTAAGGTGTATACCCTAAAATATTCTACTGCTTGTTTCTTTATTATTAATTTAGGTATACAACCTAAAATATTCTAGACACACTCTCACCATCATCACTTAATCTCTAAGTTTAAGTCTAGAAATAATCACTATTCCTAGTTCGCTTAAACTAATGCTCTAATACCAATTGTGACATCCCCTGTTTTTCAGAACCAAAAGAAAAAAAACTTTTATTTGCTCTTTAAAATCATAGTATTTTTGTTTGCTGAAAATCCCAGTATAATAAAACATTTTGCAGAAACTGTTTTTGTTTTATTAAAATATCATTGAGTAAAGATGTCGTTTCAAAATACAAAAACACTAAGGATGTCATAATCAATACATAATATTGTTACAACGTAAAGACCTAATGGTCTTGAACACTACTGATGCATGTTGTCTCTTAATCACTCAATATCCTAAACAAGCCCCAACAGCTTTCAACCCTGTTACTTGTGACACATATAATTTGAGTGGGTCGGGTTGGAAAACCTGGTGAGAGAATAGGGCTTTCAATCCTACAATATTATTATGATAATAATTTATAAATATCAAACTTGCAAAACCAACTGTTACCAAATAGTATAGATATATCTCATAGCATAGATATCTATAAAACATTACACCCGTACATACCCATCCCATCCGATTCTCACAAATCCTAGTCCACGATAATCAATAATTAATAGTCAACTCACCTAATGAATCATTTAGAGCAATGGTTTGACTACACATCTAGGGGCTTCCTTGGCTTGTATAAGTCATAAAGGCACTTAAGCCATTAGAGTTTTTGATGAATATAACATCCCCATTATATCTACGTCTGTGGGTTATAAATCCACACTAACAACGTAATTCACAAGACTATAATGTCAAGTGTTGTTATCCTACCCTGTTAGATGACCAAACATACTGTTTTAGTTGCCTGATTGGACCCACCATATTTGACTACCCAAAGGAATATAATATCTCCTTTAAGTCCTAGTATCTAACTAGACAAGATTACAAAGCCTTTTATCAACACAATTCCTACCTATGTAATATTTTTACAATACATGGTGCAACTAAACACTCTTTAATTTAACTCGAACTGAGCATTCTCTTAAAATCTTATTTCGTTACTAGGTAAGACTATGATGCTTTAAACAAATTTCCAAAACCATTTTCCTGTTTATACTATACTATCACAATACAATATGCGTCGATTCATTTATCCAACTTAACGGGATCTAAATATTCATTACACGTCTTAGTTTTAAATTTAGACGAGACTATAATCCTTTTAATCGACCTTTAATACTAACTCTTTTTTAAACAAAACTTATCGTAACTTAGTGTATATACTTAACACAGAGTATCAGGTATTTTAACATGCAATAATCTTTTAAGTAATAATATTTATTTTTAAGATCATCACATAATAATATCATATAAACACTTTAACACATATATAACCATTTCTATTTCACACAATACCTGTTATCAAATAAACATTTAACAAATATTCCAGACAGTAAACATTTAATTCACATATAAACTTTCAACTAATATTAATACTTTTTAATAATTATTTGTATTAAATCGTGTTCATGAAAGTAACTATGCACTTACCTAATATAGGTGGGAAAGTCGCCGAAAAGTCAACTCACTTCAAATTCCCTTTTAAAATATCCTAAACACGAATATTACTAATCTTTAGTATTCGCTCGTATTTATAAAGTTTAATCATTATAATATTTTTTATCAGATTTATCAATAATCCCAAAAGAACACTGACGTATAGTTGATAAGGAACAACCATGTAAGATCGTATCGGAGGTAAGATCCGTTTGTAAGATCTAGCATTGACATCACTCACGTAAGTAGATCGGTCAGTATAATGATTGGTATTACTGATAAATCTTATTTATAAGTTCATAATAACGTTTACAAATATAAATATAAGTTATACATAAAGCACGGTAAGCATAACTCAACTTAGAAGTTGTTTGTCGAAAAATCGGACATCATGCGGGCAAAACATCAAAACCAAAAACTCTATTTCTTCAGGTTCTCTAGCGCTCCATAGCTTCACTACTAACACCTAAGAAGTAATAGAACCAGGCCTCGAGGGTTCGGGAGAGGAAGGAAGAGAATTGATAACCAAATATGCAAGAAATCGCTTCTATTTATAATATTTTCAAGAGGGCGCGCCGCTTCATGCCATGTGTCGTAATCCTAAGTCTTGTCGTGGGGAGGAAGGGTGAATGGAGATGCTGCCAAGCGTCACTAATCCGACTGTGCTACGTGTCGCCCATCCGACGATCCAATTTTTTTTTCTTCTAAAAATCATAACTTTTGCATACGAACTCCGTTTTTGTTGGTTTTATATCCATGTGTAGCTATCCACAAGTAATACAATTTTCATTTGGAGTTCGTCGGGTAATTTTCAATTTATTTTTCGTTTTACGGTCCGAGAATGCTTAAACTCTAAATAAAGCTGCAAAATTTGTAACTTCTTCATACGGGCTCTGCTTTCGACGTTCTTTATATCGTCGATTTCATATTGAAGAGTACTACAACTTTTATTTAGATTGTTTTAGATAACAATCAACCGATTTTTATTTCGATTTCTGTGTCGCACACTGTTATACTGTATCGTACTCGAAACTTATAAAAAATCATAACTTCCTCATACGAAGAAATTTTTTGGCATTCTTTATATCAACACATTCCTATTGACAAGTACTCCGACTTTTATTTATATTACTTTGGCTAAAAAGCAACATATCTCTAGTTCATTTTTATGACGTACATTGCCGTATCGGTTTGAATGCGGAACTTAGATAAATCATAACTTCATCATACGAAGTAAGATTTGAGTGCTCTTTATATTCATAAAATTTTCATTATGTCTAGTACAACTTTCGTTAAGATTATTTATCCTAAATAATCTTTTATTTTTATTCTTTATTTTATCGTTTAATGATAATTTTTATATTAAGATTTTCTACAAATATTATATACTCCTTATATTTGTTCACATATCGTGTATATAATAAATAATAACACATAAGAAGAACAATTACCTTAATCAAGGATTTTAATTGTTCGTTAAAATATATAATAATTATAATTATACTCTAAACGTCTAGCCGAAATTGCAGTTGTTAGAAAAACCATATAAAAATTCATGGAATTATCTTTTCACTAACAATAGTATTATTACATATGTTAGATTCCACATATTCGTTTAGGTACATAATCATGCATTGAAAGGAAAAAGTTGAAAGTAAAACAGTTTCATAGAAAAACCCAAAAGTAGGATCTTGTGATACATAGATAAATGAAAGAAAGCACTCTTGACACTTCCTAATGGATCCATCAAGGTGCTTGTAAAGATATTTTATCAACTCCTGTATCTGAAAAAAAATCAAAAAATTAAAAATTAAAAATTGAAAGTGGCTATATAAGCACAGTCGCAGTTTTTTTTTTCATCCGTAAGCAAAAAAAATAAAAATAAACCAAGTGTCACTAGTACATAAATGATTTGTTGATGCGGTTAAAATAGTTATTTGATGCGGTTATTGAATCGCACTAACTAAGATCACATCAAAAAATACCCTCATTTAATAGTGCGGTTATAAACCGCCTCAAAAAATAGTCAAAACCGCACCAAAAAATAGTTGAGGAAAAACACAAACCGCACCATAAATGATGAAAACCGCCCCAAAAAATGCAAACAACACCAAAAAAAAACCATCCCACCGGAAACCACCCTTAAACCACCATCATCTCTACCGTGTGTTTGTTGCCGAGAACACAAGATTCACCAAGCCACACCATCTTTATCGCCATTAAACATCGTCGAGCGTCTCTACATTGACCTCCTTTACAACCGAGCATAAACCACCACCAGTTGACACCATCGCCATCTGCCCCACCTTTGCCGGAAACCACCATTACAACCACGAAGAACACCCAACATCCCCAGTTATCATCGTTTTTTCCACCTTAAACAAACCAAACGTAAATCAATAAAAAAAAGGAAGAAGAACAAAAATTAGTTTATCTGCATACCTGCCATCTCCACCACTAACCACCGTCAACACCGACCACAAATGTCGTACCTTTACTGAGAACCATCGAAGCACCACCATCTCCTACATATTTCCGATCAACCAACTTATTTCACCTTAAACAAACCAAACGTTTAATCAGAAAAAGAAAATAATGAAGAAGAAAGGAGATATGCTTCTTGTGTTGTCTGTAAAAGGGGGAAAAGCACACGCAGGGCATACATACTTTTAGAGGGAAATGAAAATATAGAAGGAAAACGAAATAAAAAATTCGAAGGATCAACCAACTTGTAGCTTGCTTGAACATGAAAATTTTGAACCAAATTTGGAGGGATCTCATGAAGAATGAAAAATTCGAATGAAATTTTTAGAGGAAAGATTAATGATGTGGTTGAATGTTTTTTAGTGCGAATTATTTCTTGGTGCGGTTCAATGTTTTTTAGTGCGAATTATTTTTTGAGGCGGTTTTAATTGTTTTTTGGAGCGGTTTTCAAAATTAGTTTTTGGTGCGGTTTTGGGAAACCGCCTCAAAAAATGCTTTAATGCTGCGATTTTGGAAAACCGCACTAATAAAGCTATTTTATGGTGCGGTTCTCTTCTTTTTTGATGCTGTAGATATTTAATAAGGCGGTTTTTAGAAAGGACAGCATCAAAAAATAAAAATCACTCGCACTTTTAAATGACTTGTGTAGTAATGTGTGCACCCTTCTTGATATGGTTTAGGTTCCATGCTCACAAAGAGGTAAGGATGATTACATGTTACATACATGAAAGCAATCGAATACTTCCTCCCAAGTAAATTACATTTTAGTCCATGTACTATATTGATTCCTTCAGATATAGACCAAAAATGCATTTGTGGGCGGATGTAGCTAGTAAGAAGTGGGGTCCATGCACCCCACTTGGAAGTTGGTCCCATCTATTATATTACCAAAAAGATCTTTAAACAATTCTATTTTTATTAAGAAACCCCCTCCATGGCACCCACTCTTACAAGAAAAGTCCATCTTTAACTTTTTTTTTTGCTAAAAAAAACTAAAAATATCCTAAAATTTCTAAATATTATATTTTTATATGTTTTTTATATATAATTGACCCCTCTTAACTTCGTTCCTGCATCCGCCGGTGTCTATACCCCATGTCTTCACACTATAATACATACTCTTGAAAGTTTTGCGTACATTCATTAGCCATGAATCATTTTATGGCATCATGATGGGATTATATTGTTCATAATCTATAAATGTAAAAGGTGATGAACCGTTAGATCTACCCATTATCCCCTCTTGAATTGTATTTGCTGTGTTATTCGCACCAGGTAGAAAATGAAAAACCAAGTGAAGTTTGTGATCTGCCTCCAAACTTTCTTTAGACATATAGTACAGTCATTTAACCACAAACCTCGTTATTCTATTCTATTCTCAAACATGTCACCAAATCGAATTCAAAATAGAGTGTTCCTCGTTCAGTCATTTATCAAAACTCACAATAAGGTTATATATGTTTATTTATGAACTTGTTTTCTAAACATATATATACGGAATCAATGTTCCTTAATCAATTATCACAACTGCTGATTGGGGGTGGGAGGGGGGATATATGAAGAATTCCCAAAATTATAAAACTCTTTAAATAAAGATGTTCATCCTCTTTCCCATCAACTGTTCGATGATGTTTTAATTATTTAGATTAATTAGTGATGATGTAAGTGTTTAGATAAGCATGTATGTACATGCTTACAAAATTCCAAAAGAACAAAATAAACATAGTTTAATTAGTTTATTTCTAAGTAAAATATAAACGAGGGGCAACTTTGTTGACCACTGAGTTTGTACTCTTAAATTCTGTCTAATATGAAAACTCCAATGGAGTACGGGTAGATTATAAAACGACTGTTAGAAAGACAAAAATTAAAGCCGGCCAAAATGCCAAGTAGAATATTAAGGTGTATGATTGTCGGTCTATGTTATTTGTTTGTTTATATCTTTTGTTTTGGTAACCACAAGTTGAATTGAAATATTTGTTATCACTACATAATTTAATCGAATGACTGAATAAGACGTGTTTCCTTTTTAACTAAATAATTTTTGTGTTTCCTTTTTAACTACATTTTAAAAGACATATGACCCAATTAAAGTGTAATGCCTGAAATCTACTTGATATTCAATTAACAGAACTTAACCATAAAGGATATCATATAATGACGTTCAATGAATATGAAATTCAATAACTACAAACTGTTCAATAGATAAAAATAAAGTTTTTAAAATTGTAAAAATGATCCACTGAATTTCTGTAGAGCTTATTGAATTGCATGGAAAAATGATGAAGTTACATGAATAGTATAATAATAATATCACAATCTATTAAGTTTTGTAGAGTTCAAACGTGTTACACACTTTAATTAGGTCATATATGTTTTAAGATGTAGTTAAAAAGGAAACACCAAATTCACACTTTAATTAGGTCATATATGTTTTAAGATGTAGTTAAAATGGAAACACAAAGGAGAAAATTATAAATTTTGCTAAATATCTTAATGACTTTTTAAAAAATAGTTAAAAAATTGAGTTTTTTTTATCAAAATAGCCACTACAATCGCACAAAAGAGAAAATTACAAATTTAGCTAAATACCTTAATGACTTTTTAAAAAATAGCTAAAAAATTGAGTTTTTTTTTTTTTTTTTTTTTTTTTTTTTTGAAAATAGCAACTACAATCGCAGACGATACTATCAATTGCGCGCTATAGCGTTTTGCGGTGGTCGAGGACCGCTATTTTCAGTTAAGCATTTTCGTTTCGCGGTAACGCTATTTGCGGCGATATTTACCGCTATAGCAACGCTATGGACGCTATTCCATTTTCGTTCACATTTTGGGCAATTTGGTTACTTTGTCAATGAAAAATTGGTTTTAATTATCTCACTACACTTTCATTTTAAAAAGCCCGGACAACTAACATAATTAAAAGCATTCAAAGCAACTACGTCTCCCGACAACTCTCTTTCTCATCTCTTTTTGTACTCACGACGACTTGAGTTGCTATGGTCGGACTCCATTAATGTTTTTTTGTAACTCGACCCACACCTACGAGGCTACGACTTGAGACTTAACTTCTTAAATCAACCACGACCTACTAATATGATATTGAACCCGTGGAATGCGATTAAACTCTTTTTCACACTTTTGACACTATTTAGTTTCCATATTACTATAATAGAATATTATGTTATGTTTTTATATGACTTTTTAGGTTCGGTGATATTAATTCTATATACACTTATAGTATTAATACTCAAATATATAAATTCTACATAAATATAATATAAAATTATAAATTATAGGTACTATTAAAAAACCGTTATACCACCGCTATACCAACGCGATAACCGTGATCTTAAATAGCGGCATGTGACCGCTATTAAAAATTTGATCATGATATCTGTATAGATTGCAGGTGTTATACCACATGTGAATTGTGATTTTGTCCCATATAAAAGGTTTTTTGTTCTTGAAATCGCAAAAGGCCTAGGGCGACGTGTGATTTTCTCTGATAAACTTTTTATTTTTATTTTTTTTATGTACCTGCGATTCCTTCGATGTACATATAATTTTTTGGGTGAATATTTATTTTGAGCTATTGAGAGAGTTTAGAAAATTTCTTGAAGTTGCAAGTATGAAAATGAGGATTATTCTAGATTGAGGTTTATATATTTCTGGTCCATAGGCCGAAAACTGTCCCATTTGTAGCCCAATATAGTGAGACATCGTCTAAGAAAGCTAAAATCGCAGGTGAGCTTAATCACCTGTATTTTGTTAGCTATTTTATGAAAAGTGCTAATCTTTAGCTATTTTATAAAAAATCATTGAAGTTTTTAGCTAAATTTGTAAATTTCTCAAACACAAAAATTATTTAAGAATTACCCTTTTCAGCTTTAGAGAAGAAGCCAAATCCCAGCCAAATAGTTTAAACACTTCAAAACACTCAAAACCTGTGGACATTAAAAGCAGAAAAGGACTTAAACTTTTTAAAATCGTATATAACATCCAAATGAGACCATAATATATAGTCCCCCCAAAAAATCATACTTCGATCATAGTTCATACACTGAAATGGCTTCTAATGTTCATGTTCTTATGATACCTCTAATGTGCCCCGGTCACCTCATTCCAATGGTGGACATGGCCAAACTCATGGCACAACAATCAGCCACCGTCACCGTCGTCATCACACCCCGTAACGCCGCCAGGTTCGGGGCGGTCCTCCACCGTGCAGTGGCCTCAGGCCACCCTATCCGAATCCTCCAACTCCAATTCCCAGCCTCAGAATACGGATTACCAGAAGGATGTGAAAACGTAGACGATTTGCCATCATTCAAGTTGACCAAGAACTTCTTTGATGCAACTGCTAAACTCCAAGAACCACTTGAAAAAGTGTTTAACGACCTTAAACCGAAACCAAGTTGTATGATTTCTGATAAACATTTAACTTGGACAGAAGATGTAGCAAGAAAGTTCGAGATTCCATGGGTTATTTTCGATGGAATGAGTTGTTTCACTCAGTTAGCTACTCATAATCTCTGTGTTTCCAAGGTTCATGAACGGGTGGGCGATTTCGATCCATTTTTGTTGCCGGGTTTACCGGATAACATAACCATGACTAAATCTCAGCTTCCAGGGTTATTCAATCCAGGAAAGAGTGCAGAGGCAAAGGTGATAAAAACTGTACGTGAGAAAATTAGAGCAGCAGAAACAGGAGCATATGGGGTAGTTATAAACAGTTTTGAGGAGTTGGAAAGAAGATATATCGACGAATACAGGAAAGTGAAGCAAAAAGTTTGGTGTATCGGGCCGTTTTCACAATCTAACAAGAATGATTTAGATAAAGCTCAACGTGGAAGTAATGATTCCATCATCACGAGCCATGAGTGCATCACCTGGCTCGATTCTCAGGAACCGGGGAGTGTGGTTTACGCATGTTTAGGGAGCCTAACGCGACTCACACCACCACAGTTTATAGAACTGGCTCTAGGGTTAGAAGAGTCAGAATCCCCGTTTATTTTAGTGGTGAAAGGAGGGAGTCGAACAGAAGAGATAGAGAAATGGTTGGTGGAAGATGGATTTGAAATGAGAGTGAAAGGAAGAGGTGTTTTGATCCGTGGGTGGGCCCCGCAAGTTCTCATATTATCACATCCTTCATTAGGAGCATTCTTGACTCACTGTGGGTGGAATTCGACTATTGAAGGGATTTGTGCAGGTGTACCGATGATAACGTGGCCTCAATTTGCTGAGCAATTTTTTAACGAGAGGTTGGTTCTGGAAGTAGTGGGAACGGGTGTGGGTGTTGGGGCTGAATCAGTGATGCCGTTAGTTGAGGAAGATGCAGCCGGGATGCAAGTGAAACGAGAGGACGTGTGTAAAGCTGTGAAGATGGTGATGGATGAAGGTATTGAAGGAGAAGAGCGAAGAAAAAAAGCTAAATATTTTAGGGAGATGGCTGAAAAAGCGTTAGAAGAGGAAGGATCGTCTCAAGTTAATATAAAACTGTTCATTGAAGATATCATGCTACACATAAATAAGGACATGGCAGATAAGTTATAGTTGCTAGTGATGTACGTATTAAGATTTCGTTGATGATTCTTATCTTGATAGCTTTTCTTTTTCTTTGGAAATCCATATCTTTGTCCGACCATGAAGTTTTCATACATGTTTTCCATATGTGTTAGCGTGTTATTATTAGTAACTGTTATTATTATTGTTTAGCATATTGTTAGTCTATATCTCGGCCCATTTGTATTGGCCTTAGTCCATTGATTAATGAGAGATCGATTCATGGGAAATAATATCAATTACATCATGTACTACATTGAGTAATAAGCAAGATACAATGGCAAATCTAAAGGGCACCAATAAGAAGATATGTGAAGAAAATAAAGAACATACAAGTCTATATGTGGTTAATACAATCATTTACGTGTGCTACGTCACGACCTAGAGAGATTTCTATTAGTTTAGGAATGGTTTAGATGTAGGATTTACTAGTACAATATATCGGGAGAAGAATGAACCTAAAATAAGAAACGAGTCAAGCCAACGAATGAGCTGCTGAGAGTCCCTTGGAACACCCTTAGTGAAAACTCATCTCCAGGAATCTACCTTCATGCATCTCCTTTCCGGAGACCAACTTCTGGAAACCAATCAATAAGATCCAGAAGCATATCAATCTGTACAAATCAACAAATATATATTAGTGGGAATGCGTAGCTATATGGGTGTAACAATGGGCATTGTTCTACCCCACACAAATTTGAAGTGAAATATATATTTTTATATAAAAAAATTATATTTCTTTTGAATAAAAAATGTTAAGGCTGTGAATTGTGACATGGTCCATCCCATTCAAAACTTAAATTTATAATGAATGAAATAATTTATCTGTTGAGGCATGTCGATTAAAAAATTGACTCTATAATTTTTTGAATATATCAAATTGCATTTCAATCTTCACAGTGAATTCCTCGTTTATCAGGTTCGTATATTAATATTTTTTTAATATCTTAATTAATCAATTACTTTCAACTTAAACAGACAATTTATTTAAAATCATACATTGTTACATTTAGTTACCATGTGAAGTATTTTGCTACTTGTTTATATTTTGTAAATTATTTGGTCTACCTTCAAACAAACTCTTGGCTACATTACTCGCTAATCTAATTAGGGATCGAGTCTTAGCATATACATCTTTGCTTTAATTATTGATGAGATCTGTCATAAAATTTATGACTGGGTAGTATGGTCCATGCTTTTTGCCGATGGTTACAATTAGAAGTGTCGAGATGGTCACAGTTGATGGTGATTTGTGTTATACATGAAGGAGTTGACCATTTCTGAGGACATGGCATCAAATAAAAATGAGAGGAGGCTTACAATGAAGATAGTCGAATAGTATGGGCCTTAGTTCCTATTTATATGTATGTATTTTCTATATGCTGTTTACCTCTTGGTTATGTCTCCTTTTTTACTTTCAACTTTATTGCTTGTATGAGTTTTTATCTATTTTCTCTTTTACTCCCCCCCTTACTTTTTATTCACCATTGTAAGCGTACATTTGACATGACTAAGGTCATCATCTATGGAAGCAATCTCTAGCATGGGGTGGAGGTACAATTGTATACATATTACCTTTCCCTCACTCCATCCCTATGTGACATATATTTTGTTTTTGTTGTTGTATAAAATGGCGAACATAAGCCCCCTAACATTGTATGCATAATTATTACAAATTGTTAGCATAATAAAGTATTAACTTTGTATGCATCATCATTACAAATTGTTAGCATAATAAAGTAGGGAAAATGACACATATGACCTATGAACTTTCTAGGGTCCCTTTTAGTCACTAAACTTTTTAAGTGGATTTATAAGGGAAGGAACTTTATTTTGTCGGGTCAATTAAGTCATTATGTCAATTGTGAAGGGGTCGGCCGATCATATTCCTGTTGGATAAGGTGTCTAAGTCCATAACTTATTTGGTATATACTTGACCCGACCCGGTATGGTCCATTTGGGTTGCACTTTACCCGAACTATTTATATGGATAATGTTATGAGAATAGTATGTTTATGACTTATCAATATAATATAAGTTATAATATATTAATATGAAATCATATTATTTAATTAGTATTGATCTTAAATCAATTATGAATTAATTTAGTGATCAAAAAGTGACTAATTAAATATGGGCTATTATATTTATATAGTGTGGGCTAATACTCATTAAGAAATGGGCTAAGCTTGCATGGGAGTCCATGGATGATCCATGGAGCTTTTAAACCATGGATCCTTGGAAAAGGAAAAGACATGGGTTATTAGGGTTTACATGGTTCATAACCCTAATCATCTACAATATATAAAGAGGCTTGTGGTGCTTGAAATGACACAATGTGTGTGCATAAGAGTTGCCGATTTCTAGAAGCTATTATACTCTCTCATAAAGTTTTCCAAGTTTGTGGTGTTTTGTGATTTCCATTTGAGGCATTCACATTATTGGTGCTAGGCTCTCAAACTCCTAAGGAATCAACTCACTACTAAAGGTATGTAACTCTTCTAGTATCTTTTATGTTTAAAAGTTGGTGCTAGGCATTCACATTATTGGTGCTAGGCTCTCAAACCCCATGCCATGCTAGATAGGTTATGAACCTTGGAAAATTATTTTGCATGTATTTTAGTCAAACATAGATCCAAGGTTTCTAGGGTTGCATGAACACCTTAGGAGTGTTAGAATGCTCAAAACCCAACAGTGGTATCAGAGCCTAGGCTTGTTTGTTGATACTTGATGCAAAATAGCTGAAAAAGTCGAAGTATTTGCTGTCTGCACAGGGGACTCGCCGAGTCCAAGCGAAACTTCAACCAACTCGGCGAGTCAGTTCATGCACTCGACGAATTGGCTAGGCAGAGTGCAGATTTTCGACTTTTGCTGCTGGAAATGGACTAGAAACATTACCCTAAATTGTTTTGGTGTTTTAAAACTTGTTGTAGATGGTGTAATGTTTGTGCTAATCCATTTACAATGGCCAATATCAAAATTCCATGTTTATATGTGTTCATATGTTCTTGAAATTTTGATATGATATTCATGTTCTTATGAATTATTGTTACATCATAGGAATTATTTGCTAAATTGTTTATTAATTAATTCTTGATCATTTATGTGTTTTAATGGAGTCCATAATTTGTCCTCAAGTTATGGATTTCCAAAGGTCACTTTCTTTTATGCACATTTAAAACACATAAATTACATGAAAATGAAGAGTCTTCATTTTTATGAACCTTTAATTTATAAGTTATGAAATAAAAAGTTTTGAATAGTTTCAAAACTTGTCCTCAAGTTTTGTAATTTGTAAAGTTGCACACACTTTAATATACTTTAATTCCAACCCTTAGAATTTTAAAAGTTAAAATTCAACCCTTATACTATTTATAACATTAATGGTTAATAGTTATATATATGTATAAGATTAAGTCGTTTTACTGTTAGTAGGCCTCATTCACGAAGTTGGTCTATAAGGGGGTATAAGGTTGTTGCCTATAAAATGACAGCTTAATGGGTGTCCATTCTCACCCACCGCTTCCTTGATCGGTGGAGGGTCGTTAGCCGAACGGGTAGAACAATGACTTTAAATTCTCATTAAAAGTATAATGATTATTATAAAGTAACTAAATGTTTTTATAAATTCCCAATCTTAGTTACTTTAGGAAAATGTGAATATGGTGCTAACCAATGAAATTAACACTTTGTATCTTACCAAGTCGTTGGTGGAGCGCATGTGGTTAACCGGCACATTGATTAGGTGATAATATTAAGGGTACCAAGTGAATTTGCATGGTTATTCACACCTTGTTTTGTGATCCTCGGCATCCCAGTCACAAAACTTGACGGGCACAATCGAGATTGAAACATGCCATTGAAAAGTTCAATGAATCTCAAAAGAATCTAGGAATTTCAAAACCAATTAAAACCTAATAATTTATTTCGTTTTCATGGTGGAAATTGGTGAATCGTCATTCACCTATCTTCAAATATGTTATAGCTTAGATTACGGCATCCCTCTTCTAAGTTATAATATATTGTGTTGGATCCTAGCCTTAATATTACATTTGGGTGTCTTATTAAGGACTCTATTAATATCTAATCTAAACTTATTTTCTTCTTTTCAGATGTCTTCCAACAACAATGCTTCGGGCTCTAACCCTACTGGCTCATTCTCTCTCATGAACCTTTGTGGGAGAGTCATTTTTGATGGTTCCAACTTCATGGATCGGATCCGGAACATCAGGATGGTTACTCGTTACGAGGACAAGGAATATGTCCTTGATAAGGAGCTTAAGGAACTCGATGAGACCACTGCTACTCCTGAGGAGATCGCTGAATACAGGACACATGAGAGAGATGCCACCAAAGTGGCATGCATCATGATGGTCACGATGACAGCCGAACTCCAAAAGTCCTATGAGGACTATTACCCTTTTGAGATGCACCAGGACTTGATGGAAAGGTACCATCAGAGTGCTCGTCAAGAGCGGTATGAAATAATCTCCTCCATGATAACAACCCGTATGAAGGATAGCGAACCAATCACGGGCCACATGCAGAAAATGCAAAGGTATGTGGACCGTTTACTAAAACTGAATGTGAACTTTCCAGAGGAGTTGGAAATTGATATCATTTTGCACTCCTTACCCTCGTGTTATGATCAATTCCGTATTACATACCACATGAACAAGGAGGAAGTCACACTCAGTAAGCTTCAAGGACTTCTGAAGGCCGCCGAAAGTGGTCTTAAAAGTAAGTCGGTTGCTACTCCTACTCCTACAGCTACCCCTGTTTTGGCTATCGGGCAAGGCAAAGGGAAGAAGAGGAAGACCCCTTCGAAGGGTACTAAGGGAAAGTCTTTTGAAGGCTCCTTATCTGGAACCAAAAGTGGTTCTATCACTCCTTCTGCCATCCCTAAGGATGCTTATTGCTTCTACTGTTAGAATAAGGGGCACTGGAAGCGAAACTGCCCTAAGTACTTGCAGGATGTCAAGGATGGGAAA